TATGTATCAACAGGTTTTTCACATTCAAGGAACAATGTTTATGGCCAAATAACATTTTTGTTATGTAGTTACTAGCAGCATATAATTGTACAGAAAGAATAAGCTAAGCCTAATACTGCTTTGATCATTAAGCATAGATTACATAATACCTAATAAAATGTAAATGTTATATAGATCACTGAAAATGTATTATGTATTTTTGTCAATATCTGTATAATACTGGCCCAAAGATAATTAAGTTACATGGAATTAAATGTGTAAGTTTTGTAATGCCACAAAACAATTTCTGCAATTAGTTTTTTTTATTCTTTTAAAGAGTCTTCAGTCATCTGTCAGTGAAGGAATTCGGGCAGTAGATGAATGAATGTCTAAACAAGAGGACATTAGGGAAAAAAAGGTATCCTTGAGTGTCATACTGTTAAACATGGGCTTATGGTAGCACCTTGGAGCTAACGACACTTCCATGGATGCAGTGTGATACACTCCTCTTGGTACCTCTGCAGAGAGGAGTGCGGGATCTTCTTTTCTCTTTAGGCATCAGCATTCAGCCAGGCTCCTGAGGGGTTCAGCCAGAGCTGGAGCCCAGGTCTTCTCACTCCTTGGCTGATTAAAGTCCTATTGATAAGAAGTGTGTGGTAAAGTAACTCATTGAAGAAAAAGACAAAGAATATTGCATAATCTTCTTGTGCTTTATTAATGATAGCATTAAAAATTTTAAATGTAGATTTCTTCTGCCACATGCCAGCTCAAAGCCTCATGTTTTCTCAACTTCTCACCATATGAAACTTTTTTTTCTCCCAAAACTGTTTCTGTGCTTATAATGTCATGTTAACTATTTGAAATAAAGCTGAATTTTAGAGGTAACCAAATGGACACAAAATTAACATTCCTCAATTTTTCCAGAACAAGACACAGGAATAACTGGTATCAGTGAAGCATTTTACAGTTTAACAGGCATAAAACTAATTTCTCAGCACCCTTGTAAAGAAGATATTCAAATTTTAGTGATTCGGGAGCAAGTAGGCCTTCTAAGGCCAGTTCTTCCAGTGTTCTGCTGCAGGTGGAAAAGCTAGTGGGTTGCTCTCTCATTCTGCCACATTTACTTCTTTTGTTTCCACTTCTTAACTGTACCTCTGCATGCACTACTTTTAATTTTTAGCAGTCTCATGTTTTGATTTTATTTTCTGACTTTAATGGATATAATATTACATTATCATATAATATTACATATCCATTATTGTATATACTGTAGTAATGTAATATGTAACATATTATATATATATATATCCATTATTATTGGATGTAATGGGATTAGAATTTGAGACAGCTATCAGCTTTTGTCCAGAGATTTCAAGAATGTAGTGCCTTTCTAGGAAAGGTTGTCAGCCTTGTGAGAGCATGGACTTTGTGCCTGTTCGGTTCACTCGTGTCCTCCCTGCCTGGATCAGTGTCTGGTGCACAGTGGGTGCTCAGTGACTACTCACATGTTTTATTTTGTCTTTTTTAGAGTGATTTTTATTGGAGTCTAGTTGCTTTACCGTGCTTTCGTCTCTGCTGCACGGCAGAGTGGATCCGTCACACACACGTCCCCTCGTGTTTAGGCTCCTCCCCATTCAGGTCACCACCGAGCACTGGGTAGAATCCCCTGTGCTGTACCCCTGTGTAGTACTGGGAACTGGTTGTTTACTGAGTGCTTGATGTCTTTCTGTGCTTTTAAGGATGGGTTTTTGTATAATGCTCAACTTATTTGATAAGGTTGTATAATAATGACTTTAATGAACTGATGCTTAAGCGTATAATTGTGTCATATACATGTCAATAGGATAAAGATGATCAGAAGCTACAGTTATAACACGAAAAAGGGTCATAAAATAAATGTAATACCTATAGAGAGGTTCATTTAAGATAGGAAAAGAAAGGAATAATGGTGTGGGAAATGAGGAAACAAAAAGTCTAGTTTTCTCTTTTTTTAACTGTAAACTTGCAGTAGAATATTGAAAATGTGCTTCTTCTTGACACCTAAAGTTAAGATTTGCATTCTTGGGAATTCAGTTTTATGTAGAAGTGTTCAAAATATAGAATGCCCTACATACCCTACATACTTTTTGCTTTGTGTGTCCCTGAATTTAGAATGGGGAAATAAGATGATTAAGATGAAATATCGTGATAACTTTGTGTTTTGCTTAATTATTATTTTATAGATATGTGTGTTGTGGCTTATACAGGTTATTCCATCAGTTGAGAAAATTGAAAAAATCTTAAATTCTCAACATTCTAAAGAAACATCTGCACTAGAAGCAAGCAGGTAAGTATTTTCTTCACTAAATATTACATAAATTAATACTTTGCATCTAGCCTAATTTTTTTATTTTTATTTTTTAGTTAAAATTCATTTCTGAAAAAGAAGAAAAGCCAAGTCTATGGTTCAGTGTTTTTGAGTGTAGCTTGTGGAAAGTGGAGGGTGTGAGATGGTAAAGTTTATAATACATCCTTATAAAGGCTTTATGGTTGTCGGCCACAGTTCCAATATATCACTTCACAGGGAATCAGAGGAGTGTGCTTTTATTGGAAGAATTTTAGTCTTTGGAATTGCCTTAGAGAAGCACTGGCAAAATTCTGTTGATCTTCAAGATATGAAATGGCTTTCATCTTTCCCAAATTCATTTAGACCAGAGTAATGCCCAGAGTATTGCCACTTATGTATCTTACCCTAGCATTACATCATTGAGAAACAGGATAGGCACATTTAGTTAACATTTGTCAACAAGAAAAAAAAAAAAAAAAAAACTTGTGAAATTAGAAAAAGATGACCATTTTCTTTGTTACGTACTGCAACTGTCTTCTTATCTTTCTAGTCTGAATTTTAAATCAGCCAGGTAGGTGAGTGACTCAGAAAGTGAGTAGCTCATACCAGCACCATGGGAAGCACCGCGGTGCTGTGGACAGATTTGTGCTGAATATTCTACTGTGCAGCCTGAGCCATGGTGTCTCAACTCCTGGTGTCATTGACAGTGGAAGGCTAACGGGAACTCCTCTAACAGGGCTGTCTGACCCTGAGGTGCCGTCAGCCCATACCTGGCATGTAGTAGGCCCTCAGTTCAGTTGAGTTGCTCAGGCATGTTCGACTGTTTGTGACCCCATTTGATGGGTCATCCCTTATGACCCATCCAGGGGAGCTGTTTGTCTCAAACTGTTCCAAGTCTCTTGCCCTTAGCCGCCTTGGCAGTTCTTGCCAGCTTATCCTCACTCAACATCCACCATACCAGCCTTCCTGTTTTCTTTCCATTTTTGTCCATCCCTACTCTTCCTTTGATAGAGATGCGTCACAATGTCTTTTTCTATAATACTGCTCCTTTGTGATATTCCATCTTTAGTGTAATAGATATGCTGTTTCTTGCTCAGAATCACCTTCGAGGACTTTTTAAAAATTCAGATCAACAACTTTGAGTTGTAAAGGAGGGAAAACCAGGGCAATGTAAATAACTGGGTAGAGCTAGAGAGAGGGGAGGGAAGTTAACAATGAAGAAGGCCCTGAATGAGAGAGGCGGGGGGAGGAGATGTAAACACCCACACTGGCCTGGGCCAGCTCTTGCTTCTTGGCTGGACCCTGTGGTCGGGGCCTGGCAGTGTCAGGGGCTTATGCTTAACTATTCTAGTTTTCCACTGTCCTGGAACATGCTGTAAAAGCTCATGGCACAAAGGATGCTATAGCTTCTACCTTATAACAAGGGGGCTATGGAAAAGCACAGTGAAAGCATCAGGATTGCTGATCATGTGATATATTCCTGGAAATTAAAAACCTTTAGGAATTAACTCTTTTTAATTGTCTCCACTAGCCCGCTTTTGACTGGACAAATGTTGGAGAGAATTGCCACAGAATTCAATCAGTTACAGTTTCATGCTGTTCAAAGCAAAGGCTTGCCTCTTTTGGACAAAATAAGACCAGTAACTGTTGTTTTAGATTTTTCACACTTTAGTATTTAGAAATTTGCTAAATAATTCTGATTTTACATGGTACAGGCAGACCTTGTTTTATTGCCCTTAGATTTATTGTGTTTCACAGATACTTCACTTTTTTTTTTAATTGAAGGTTTATTGGAGCTCTGTGTCAAGCAGGTCTATCACCATGCTAGTACCCTTTTAAGAGCACTTGCTCACTTCAAGTGCTGTTATCTCTGTATCTCATTCTGGTAGTTTTCACAGTATTTCAAACCTCCACCAACAAAATGATGATAGCTTACTGAAGGTTCACATGATGGTTGCATTTTTTAGCAATAAAGCATGTTTTAATTAAAGTAATTAAGGTCTGTATCTTGTTTTTTTTTTTACACATAATGCTTTTGCCAGCTCAATATACTGTATATAGTACAGTATAAACATATGCTTCATATCTGCTGAGAATCCAAGAAACCTCCATAACTAGCTTTATTGTTCTAGTAGTCAATTTATTGTGAACCACACTTTATTTATTAGAACCACACTTGCAGTATCGTCAAGGTATGCCTGTATTGTTCTGATAGTTGTTGATCTGCAGGATTTTGAAGCTAACTTTGAATTTTCTCTTTCAGTTTTTGTTTTTTAGGCCCCTGCCTCCTAAGTGTCACACATCATAGATTTTGTGTAAAGACACAGGCATATTCTCTGAGTTATAAGGGTAAAATTAATTCTAAATTTCATGTAACTTGACACACTATATGATTTAGTTAGAATTAATTTATCCAAAACTCTTGACTGGACTTTAGAATCATGATGTTTGTCAGATTTACTCTGTAGCTTAAAAGCACCTCATTCTGAAGTGATATCTAAATCCTCCTTTGATACAGCAAAGATTAACTTACAAAGAGATGTGAGAAGGAGGAGGAGAGATTCATTGTTCCTCTCCAGAAAATGTTAATATTTAATTTTACATATCTTCTGTTGGAATAAGAAATTTGTTATGTGTGTGTTTGGATCTTTAGAAATGATTACAACTGGACCTTTTTAGCCTGTCTTTCTTGCAGCATATAGCTGGTATTACAGCCATGTTACAACAGTCATTGGAAGGCCTCCTATTAGAAGGTCTTCAGACTTCCCGTGTCAATATTATTCGGCACTGCTTACGGACTTATGCCACAATTGACAAGACACGGGATGCAGAGGGGTTAGTTGGTCAAGTCTTCGTGAAACTGTACGTAGATGAGGTTTGTGTACTGTTGAATAAGGCCTTCATTCAGCAGATGTTCATAGAGCATCTGCTCTGTGTTGGATGCTTTACTGGGTGTAAGGGGTAGTTTAGAGGCCTTTGTGTAGACTCTCAGTTACTGTAGTACCATCAGTTGGAAGAAAAGGTTGATCCCTGGTGGTGACAACTGGCATGCAGGAGTCAGGCACCTTCTCAGTGTTTTTTAGTGATGCTGTAGCCCAGGGATCATGTTAATTTAGTGGGAGGAGGGTCTTGCCTAGGAAGAAGGAATGTATCAGAACATTTTTAGGTCAGTTTTATGGTATGTAAATTATTTGCCACTAAATTCTTAAAATGAATTTTTAACTATTGGTCTAGTGGGTAAAATGGAACAAGTAAGCAGATACCAAAACTGCAGTGTAAGTTCCTGGTAAGGGAGCCTGCTGAAACCCTGACCATGGAAAGTCTGTGCTGAAGGTTGTGTTCACAGAGATGTGGCCTAAGTCTTGAATACTGAGGAGTCTCTTAGCCAGGAAGGTGGGAGGGAGGAAATAGTCACTGATGCAGGACTTTCATGGGCAAATTAGCAGCGTAATACCCTAAGTCCAAAACCTCACTATCCAGTATCCTTCATCTCCAGGGATGCAGTTAAGCTTTGGAAAGTAAGCATATTCTGCCTTTGAGCAGCCAGGATGTAGACTGAACCGTATGAAGTTGCCAATGCTCAACGTCTTCTGACACACAAGAGCGGCAGCTTCATCTGGCTCACACTGGTGAAAGTCACAAGCCCGTCCTCAGTGTTTGCAGACCCTCTCCAGTCCTCTGTCCGTGTGGTGCTCGTCCTGTCCAGTAAGCACAAAGCCCTGTTCACCGTGGCTTTGGGATGAAAGCCTCCCGTTTATAAATGGGGGACATGGAAGCCCATTGATAACAATGAAATGTAAGGTTAACTCCAGTAATCCTTTCAGCTTTTATTAGAGTTACTAAAAATAAATGATCTGTCGGTTTCCTCTCTTCCTATCCTGTTATATTTCTTACCTAACTTGATAAGAACGAAAAAGACAACTTACCTACATTATGTCTCTCAGTAAGTGAAAATCGTTACTAACTTATGCCTTTTTTTTTCATTGAACTGAACCTAATGTGCTAAATGAGAGAAACATTTGATGTTTCAGTGGCATATTAAACCAAGGCCACATTTTAATTTTTTTTTAATTCGTATGCTTGTCATTAACCTCTTGACTCTCAACCTTAACACAAACGATAAAATAGTAAAGTAAAATAAAATATATATTTCCACCTTTCTCTGTCTCACACCTTCCCCTGATCTAAATTATGGTAGAAGAAAAGGCCGAGGTCAGTACAGGGAGGGGCTGTTGTTATGGGAAATTGTCATTTTATTTTGTTTTCAGTCTCGGGAGGGGAGGAGGCAAATGTGCTTGGCTTTCCAGCTTCAGGCCAGTCTCTGTCACCCAGCCTGTGTCTCCCCTGGGTCAGAGCTGTGCTTCCAAATCCTGAAACTAGTTCTGAGTATAGCTGTTACTGTTAGAAAACATGTTAGATGGGGAGGAGGGGGCATGAGGAAGCATACTTTTGAGATTTTCTCTATTTTTCCTGTAGTGTGTAATTCATACCTCTTTTTAAGATGCTTTTTTTTAAATGCTATTCGTTTAATAGTTGATTCTAGAGCAGATTGTCGATAGTCATCTGAGTGATCTCCAGCTCATGTATGATAAACTCATGGAGTTCGTTCCCCATCACTGCCGCCTTCTTCGAGAGGTCACGGGAGGAGCCATCTCAAGGTAGTTAAAGCAGCTGTACTCAGAACTTGCGCCTGCTGATTATTGCTGCCTCGTTTGGGTCGGGTTCATATGCGCTCCCCTGGTGAATTGTTAGCATGGCGCTATGAGGTGGGTGTGGGTCACCGCCTCAGAAGGAAACTGTAATGAGTAGGGCAGAGGTAAAGGGTGCATCCTTGTGAATTCACAACCCATACTTTCCCCTTTTGTGTACTTTTTCCTCAATTACATGTGAAATAAAAGTTGGTTTCCTTCCATTATTCTGATGTTGTAATCTGTTTATAAATATGAATTCCGTGTAATTCAAGTTTTATATTAATTGTGGTTAAAGTCATCTTCAGTTTTCCCTCCTCTTGCCTGATTTCCATACTTTTCGCTTTGTTTCATAAATACCCAGCTGCCTTTCACCGTCACCACTAGCCTGATCCGGGCCTTTGTCATAGTTTTATCCAGAATAACAGGATCTGCCCACCTCCTCTCCCTGCCTCCACCCTCTCCCTTCTCACCCTTCCCCTCTGCCCTTCGGCTGTCACACTGACCCACAATCCTGATATTTAGGCACTGCCTTCTTCCTAAGTCTTTAGTGGCTTCTTGGTGCGTGTGGAGGAAAGTCTAGGCGTCTTGATGCGGCATACGAGGCCCTGCGCACTCCGGCCTCAGTGGTCCTTGTGTGTGGCGCTCTGGGCTTCCCTTGCTCCGCTGGTCCCTGGCACACATTTGGTGTGTCTGTGTTTTTCCTCAGAGTCCTCTGCCTTTCCCTTTCTTTTTGTTGATCTGTCATCCCGTGTGAAGCCCCAACTGAGATGCCACTTCCTTCAAGGGACCACCTTTCATCCTGAAGTCTAGCTTTAATCCTGTTCTGTGCAGGTGATTGCATGCTGCTTTCACTTCTATGGAGGACTAGTTTCCATCTTAACAGCTTGCTCCCATCCTGCACAACCCATACTCCCCACCCCTGGCACAGTGTCTTAAGACAGCAATTATCCAGTGTTTGTGAAATGAAAGACTCAGTCAATTTGCAGCATTAGAAAGGAAAGTCAAGTCCCTTTCTTCATGCAGTGAAAATTATTTTTAGTCTTGAAATTTTTTTCTTTGAAAAGAGAAACCTGGGGAATAAATGTGCTGATTGACTGGGAAGTACCCTCTCTGTTTCCACTAGATGATTTCAGATGAAGCTTTGTTTTGCCACTTTTGTGTAATAATAGTCAAGATTTAGTTGGATTTGGATTTGGGGTAAAAATTTAATAGAAGTCCTCATGTGAAATTAAAGAGGCCACAGTAACGAAACAACCAATCATTAGATTTGACAAGCCTAGTTTTGGTCCTGAAATGTCAAGTTTCATGCCTCACATGTTTGTTCTTTTCCACAGTTTTCAGGGTGGCAGAACTCATGTAGAAAGCTCAGAAATTTGAGTATCTAGACTGTACCTTGGTAGGTCATCTGCCTTTGCTTCACGCCACATCGTCTTGTTGCCTTGGACCCTCCCTTGCTCTGCATCTGCCTTTGGGTGTTCTGTATACCCAGCAACACCAGTGATGTCAGAAGTTATTTTCCAGAGGACGTAAATTAGCTTTTCTAATTGTTGATCTTGCAGATTTAAATTTTCCTTTTGAGGCTTTAATTGTATATTTAGTTTGGAAATAGGGTGATTGATCATTCATTGTTGCTCATATTATGTGCATTTGTATGCTAAAATCTTCAATTTTGTTCTCTCTTCCTATATCTTATTAGAGTTAGTTCTTATTGGGATTAAAAGTATATGATATGATATGTGGAATTGGGTATGTGGGACATAGGCATCTCCTTTCCCTCATCGAATATAAAGAAAATTACCTTAATATAGAGCATGTTAACAATGCAGCAAAGTGGGTAGGTCAGTGAGATGGTGTTGCCTAAAGATATTTACAGATTTTTAAGTACAGAGAAACTAAAGGAACCCACCTTTTTTATTTATGTACTGTGTATTTAACACTATTAACATAGCACTTACTACATGCTGCTGCTGCTGCTGCTAAGTCGCTTCAGTCGTGTTCAACTCTGTGAGACCCCATAGACGGCAGCCCACCAGTCTCCCCCATCCCTGGGATTCTCTAGGCAAAAACACTGGAGTGGGCTGCCATTTCCTTCTCCAGTTAGTGCTAAATGCTTTACAAGCTGTACACCATCCTAAATGCTTTACAAATCTTATTCCATATAATGACCCTATGATTTTAAAGATGAGGAAACCAAAACACAGAGAAGTTAAATGACCCGAGATTTGAACTTCAGTGCTGTGTGGATCCTGAGAGCATGATTTTCTCTCAGTGTTCTCTTTTACCTAAGTGTGTTAATTAGAAACTCAGAATTTGGCCTTTTTGCTGATAATGCAAAATAAAGCATGTGCATATGAAAACCATGAATGTTATCAGTTATTTTGTTTTGATTTTACATGAAATAGTCAGAACATTAGACCTGAAGGTAATCAGAGATAGCTGAGTCACAAAGCTGTTAGTAATTGGTAAATTAGTGTGATTTACAGTGTTTTAGAGCTGAGTGGTGTTAAGGTTGAATACAAAGATTGCTTTTCTTATGGTATTAGACTGCTGCTTTCTCAAGACAGTGTATAAACATGGTAACCCATTTAAGGGGAGAAAACTGTGTCATGGCAAGTCGGCGTAGTTTTCCATTATCCTTGACCCCAGCTGTCTGCTATGTGATAATTGTAGGAGTCAGGACACAGAGGATGTGTCAGGTTCTAGGTGAGAATGAGATCAAGGAGTGAGATAGAAGTTTGGGCCTAAAAACAAAATAATTGACAAATACAGTTGTTTTTAAAAGGTTGAAGTAAATTTTAGGCTGAGGAACTTTTATTTTAATAAAACACCACAGTGGAATTTTGCTTTTTGTAAGGAGATGTTTCTGGTGTATTTGACTGAAATTTTTCTCTTATCTTACAATGAAAAGGGCAATACTGTTCCCGGCTATGATTTTTTGGTGAATTCTGTCTGGCCAGAAATAGTATGAGAATTAGAAGAAAAGTTACCCTTGATTTTTAACTCTGGTAATCCTGATGCATTTCACCAGGTACGTTTCCCTCTGTTGTCTTGATTCTTGAAGGTGTTAACCTGAGATAATCATGTCTTTTTTGCATAGTCTTGGTTCTATGGTTTATTGAAAATCACAATCTGAGTTGCAGAGCCAACATTTACCTTAAAAATACACACATT